CTTTGGCCATAACGCCAAAAATCTTGGTTTTTCCACCATTTTTGGAAATGTTTTTTCTCACTAAACTATGGAGGGAATTTGACCAAAAAATTACTGTAAGTGACCTATTCAAAGAACTTTCAACTAAATTATACCGAAGAGGATTAAAGGTCGTTGAAAAAATTTTAAGACTTTGTTTGAGTAGACTTGGCCATTTCAAATATTTGTTTCTAACTTGTCTTTTCAGCTTTTAAGGATTTAGAGGTACATTAGTGTGTTATAATCATATTATTTACAACGTGATGACATGCTAAAATGGTTTATAAGGGAAGGATTTTTGGACTATGCCATCCTTAATGGGATGAATTCAGATTAAGAACGTTTGGGAAAGAGATTCTGATCCGCCTTCCAAGTTTTCGGAGCGGGTCTATGAAAGAAGTTGTGAACCTTTCTGAGTTTGGACAATGGATCCGCTCGAGTTTAATACTGGTTGGCCGAGTGGTAAACATGCAAAAAAAGCTTGCAGAATGCAAAGCGTTTTAGCGGCAATAGGATTTGCCTTGACCTCTGCGCCTTAAGCGCGCACTCGATCAACAACAACTACAAGCCTACGGTTGTATTACCTAAATTCCGAAAGATACTGCTTCCAAAGACCCGCTCCACGAGATTTTGAAGGCGAATAGAAGTCCCTATCTTAAACCTTCTTCAGCTGTAAATAAGTCATTTAAAGTGGCGGCTTGGCTAAAAAATCTTTGCCTATAGAAGTGTAAAAGATGCTACTTTAACATGATTTTGTAAATTTTGTGAATAGAAATTTGACCTTATCTTTTTGAACTAAACTACTTTAAAGTATTATTATCTAGGATTCGTCTTTCGTTCAAATCAAATGCTAAGTAGTGCAGACATGCACTTTTTCGGGTGTTTTTATAACGCTCATTTCCTGAAATTTTCTCGCTTTTGACCGAAGTTTGCAAAGCTCTTTTCCTGCTCTGTAAAAACGCGTTCATCGTTTCCCCAAGTCGTGTCTTTATTTTTTTATTTTTGAGGGGGATAACACTTGCTGTTGTCTTTTAAAGGCCGCCAAGAAAATGCTCGTCTGTT